GATCCGACGAGTTTGAAAATCATGCAGTGTGAACTCGGCATAAGAAACAAATTCATCATTCAATCATTTTAACTTTAAACTGTCACTTCTGGCCAAAATACCAGTCCATAACCCATAACACTTCCTCCAGTGAAAAAGTCAACTCCTGTTGTCCTCCCACACCAAAATCCATCAATATATTTGTTTAGAACTTTTTTGGACTCTTTTTGCTTATAAACAGTGCTTTTTTATGGATTATGGACTCGTATTTTAACCAGAAGCAGCGGTTTGAATTCATTACAAACAAGCATGTTTTCACTTGACAAGACATTAATTGATGGACTGGAGCTGTGCGGAGGATCGTTGTGATGTTTGAACTCTCATTCTGACGGCACCCATTCACAGCGAAGGAACCATTAGCAAGAAAGTGATGTAACATTACATTTCTCCAAATCCGTTCCGATGAAGAAACAAACTCACCTTCCTCTTGGATGGCCTAAGGGGGAGTACGTTTTCAGCAAATTTCCATTTTTGGGTGAACTACTCCTTTAAGAGGGTGACGTCTAATCGTCCCCTTTTGTAGATCCTTACCTGAGCTGCATCAATGTAGTTGATCAGGTCTAGAGGCTCCTGAAGGGTTTTGCTCATCTCAAACTGTAGCTTCTCGATGGCTCCCACATACTTGACTCTGAAGTCAGCACAGGCGTCAGACACGGCGTTACCTGAGGGTTCAACAAGGTCAGGAACTAGTGAGGGTCACAAATGTACACACATGAGTTTCTAGATGTTTCAGTGAGGACTAACTTGAGCTCTTGGTGGAGTCCGTATCAAGACTGGCAACTGTGCTGGACCTAGACAGGCCTCCCAAACTGGAATCTACCGACTGGATAAAGGGAAATTAGAGTTTATCATGACCTTTGTGGAAAACAGAACTCAGCAGACAGAATGGCTGAATCCCAATTACTCCCTATATAGAATAACAAATCAGTGTATCCTAAACCATAGCAGTATATCAAAAGTGCACAGACTGTATACCGTACATTGCCCTATGGATTTTTGATTCGCAGATGCATTCCTTTTGAGCTAATACTGGTCACAACCCCTTTCACTGCACCCTTTGGTATCAAGGCTTAATTTTAATATGTGGAAGTAAGTCCCAGTACTAGCATACTGGCTCAATTCATATTTGTAAGTACATTTCAGCATACCAAATGTAATATGCTCTTTCTGTACCTAACAGAAATGTGCAAATGGAAATTCAGCCAATATTTGTTTACGACGTGTGTACGTGATGACTGCTGGTAAACCAACCTTGCTTTTAGAGCTGATCTCACTGCTCTGGGAGCTGCTGCTGCTGTGGCGCTTCTTGACCTTTCGAAACATCCTTCACCATGACGCCAGTGCTGCAGGTCTCCAGCTTACCAGCAGACGGAAGCAGAGTCTGAGGACAAATAACAGCATTAGTATTACTTCAGTTCATCACACCCATAGTTTCCTGTAAAGATGGATTTTAATCAAAGACCAAATATTTAATAACATGATTATTTCAAGATCCATACCCTGTTTAACCAATGATATTTTTTT